ACTTCCATCATTTGCAATGGAGCCAAAGACTCTATTTTTTGGCTTGGAAATATGATGGAATAAAGCAAAATGGCTCACTAAACTGTCTGCGCTTTTTTGTTTTGAAGCAACGGTCAATCCATGCAATTTTCGACGTTGTTTTCACTATGGGTCATCCGGAAAAAGGCTCTCTGTGCTTTAGAATAGGGGTAAGACTGTGTACATCCGACCCCCCTAACCCCACCGTAGGTGGGGGGGGGGGCTTTGCGGCACTGGGGTAATGATGATGATGAATGTAGGAAGAGTAAATCAAAATTGAAGTACCTATAATGGAACAATTGGAAGTTCCTTCGTTTTTTCTAAATCAAAGAATAACTGAAGCAAAAGCATGGTCAAAATTAGTAGAAAAATCAAAGCAAATACAAGGTGAACAAAATAGGAAAGAAACCCTAGATTATTTCCAAGATTTTTTGGTATAGAGATAAGATATTTGTTTATGCGTTTTGGTAGCTGACATGCTTTCAAAAAACATACGAAATGGCCAATGGAAGATTTGATTAATAATTACCCTTGTATGCACAGGTAGCGAAGGAGCGGCCAATATCTCAAAATCTCCTACACAAGAGAATATACTTAAAATCATCATAAAATAATACACGTGACAGATTAAACCTAAACTTACCCCAAAGCTCAACATGATTTTTTTGACAAATCCCAAAGCTATGAATTAGAAAATATAGTAAAACACGTCAATTATTCAAATAAGAAACAAAGAAGATAATAAAAATCAGGCCCTGTAAGCGTATTTAAGATAATAGCAACCACACTTTTCAACAAAAAAAATAAAAACTTGGCAAAAAACAATAAAATTAAAATTGTCAATAAATAGCAAACAAATATTAGTAGATAATATTCTTAGTAACAAAGGGAAAAGGTGATGTCACATGTTCTAAATGTTTTATATAAAAATTAAAAAGTAATCTAGATGAAACTCAGAATTAGAAATGGGAAGTAACCAGGAATACTCAATCTCAAAATAATTAAACAAAATGAACCCAAATTAAAAGTAAATTTAAATTATAACAAATGAATCTAAAATCAGAAGGCTAAGGTAACATAAAATGAAATGATATTAACAGAAATTACATGAAAAAAGATGGGTAGTGAAGCTGAACCTCAGTAATCCATGAAGGTGCAAATGTAGTTCTATTTGCATCTGCAAAAAGACAAAATAAGTAAAATATATTACCATTGTCACAGTTGCAAAATATGAATCTAGGAGATTTATAAACCTAAAAACCTAAAAAACACAAGCGAGGATAAAAATCAAAAGTAAGAGTGAATAAAAACTGAACAAGAAAGGTATGTTAGTTTTATTACAGCTGAAGAATATTTAGTTACAAGACACACAAAACCTCACATACCCACAGAAACGCAAGCAAGGGAACAAATTAGAAGCAAAAATGAATACAAAGTTAATCTTAACAGAAACATGTGTGTTTCACATTACAAAGAAACAAAATTGGTCATATTAATTCAAATGAAACTTGGTTTTGGTTTAACTTTTTGAAGAATAAAATACAAAATTCAATGTAGCTCGACGTCTAGACCGGGATATGCAGAGAGATGGTAATCTGGTAATATATTTTCTGAAGCCAAAACCTACAAAATATACATAACATACAAAACCTAACAACCCCACAAAAAAACACGGTTAGGGGACAACAAAGGTTCATGTCCAAATGTTATTTCATTTTTGAATTTGCACTCAGATTGAATAAAAGCATATCCATACTGGTTGAGGCAAAACACACATGCGTATCACTTCCCCTCATCCCAAGCTTGTCTAGTTCCTTGCCAGCACTGAAACTGCAAAAAACAAGAATATATGTGTAAAACCAACCAACCAACAAAAACAATAATTTATTGTACTGAAAGAATAACATGATAATAATGACTATGCCGAAGCACCAATAATACACTAATGCCATTGAAAGCTATTATTCATGTTAGAATAGATATTACCTCCATCTTTTATGGGTCTTACTTTCCCTTTTGGACTGTCCCAAAAGAAATCTCCTTTTCCATTTTTTGGCAAGTATGTGGTTGATATCATTTTACTTTATTACACCAAAACCTCAATCACGACTTTTACTTTTCAACGGTTTTATAAATAATTGTGTCAAACCAAACAAGACACACACACACACAATGGAACGGAGGGAGTATCTAAGAACTATGCAGTCATAAAGATAATGCAGAAAAACAGAGCATTCTTCACTCTTCAGATAAAACCATGTAAAAGATATACTTAAAATAATACAGCAGCAAACCAAAGGCTAATTCATTAAAGAAATTTAGACGACCTAAAGCAAGCCATTTTGAGGGATATACCCAATAAGTGGTGCTATGCTCGAAGATGTAGCCTAGTAGACATCAAATTACTGCAATTATATTTGTCTCTTTCTATGTTTGTATGGGTGTGCATATTGCCGACAATAGGTTCTAATGAGCTTCAAATCCTGAATAATGTAAGATAGCTCTATCTATGTATGTTAATAGTGAGGACTGAGGAATAATATATGTGTTTGTACCACAGGACCATTGGTACACCACATCGTACTCCCATTCAGAACATAACCCCATCAACACGATCAGCTCTGCATTTCATGCTAACAACATCCAATCCAGCTGAAAAGGGCACCATATTAATTGGAAACCATTTCTTTTTCTCAAATAAAAGATAGCCTTGGTCTGAAAACCCTCTAATTCAATTTGAAAATAGTTCAAACAGAGAGAAATAGTTGTGGAGTAAATGAAGTTTTAGGGAAAAGTACACTTGGGTTCACTTATAGCAAGAGCCCCAATATGCCCACCTCTTATCAACACGATCAGCTCTACATTTCATGCTAACAACATCCAATCCAAACATTAATTGTGGCCAGTTAATGCAAACTGTTAATTACACTTGATGCAAACTGTTAATTCAGAATCTAATGTGAAAAGTGAATTGAAACCTTATCCAAACAAATTTTTTATTATAAAAGGTCACATGCTCAAATATGATACTTACTTGCTGAAGCAGGTAACTGCTAGTTCTTCTGCTAAAAGCCCACTGTGGGGGTAGGCACAGAACAATAACAGATGTCTGAATCAATTTCAAGCCACAAACAAAGTTATAAATTAATGGAGATGTAGGCAGTAAGTATCTTGATTGAAACACACACACACACACACACACACAAAAGAAACAAGAAGTTTAGGGTACAATTAAAGAAAAGTCGTTCTTGAGCTAGATTTGTGAAACGCTTGCAATTCGGCAATTTGTATTTCATTTTCTTTACAATTCTCTGTAACGACACTTGCTTTATGTTGGGGAACATGGGTCTTATTAAATTCTGTATTTGAATTACTACCTCCGTCCCAGTGAGTTCTTCCTAAATTGACTTGGCTCGCAAATTTAGATAGTGAGAATAAAGTGGAAATGTATGGTTGTAGTTGTGTAAGAAAAAGGTGAATGAATGTAAACCACATATTTTTTCCAAAAGTGGAAGTTGGAAGAATTAATTGGGACGGTCCAAAAAGGAAAGTTGAAAGAAATGACCGGGACGGAGGGAGTATAATCTAGCAGAAATCCCATCGAATTGACACAACCCTTTGGCAACCCACCCAAGCAATTAATAAAAGGCTCTATCTGCGACTCTTGCTCTTCCTTTAGTTTCCTATATCATTCTGCACTTTGTTATATTAAGTGGAAAAGATTACTAAAGAGGAGAATAACACATCTCAAACGAATAAAATCAAACCAACAAAGGAGCACTTACATGTTTAGCATAATCAAACGCATCAGCAGAAGCATCTACATAAGCTACATAGTGCAAGTTAACTATTAGTTCAATTTCCTCCTCAATTGCGGAACCAAATAATAGGTCAAGCAAACAATTACCTGTATTCTGAAAAGACCTTACTGCCAAAGCTTTAGGTCCATACTCCAATTGGGGGTTCTACATGTAAAAGTTGAGGATAAGGTGGTAAATGCATTCACAATTCTTAATAAAGAAGCCACTGTTATTCATATGCTCCCATTGAGGTTCTACATGTAAAAGTTGAGGATAAGGTGGTAAATGCATTCACAAGTCTTAATAAAGAAGCCACTGTTATTCATATGCTCCCATTGAGGTTCTACATGTAAAAGTTGAGGATAAGGTGGTAAATGCATTCACAAGTCTTAATAAAGAAGCCACTGTTATTCATATGCTTATAGCAATCCGAAAGAATGTAAAATGAGATATAATACGAATTGCTTGCTTTGACCATTTATCTTATGTGAGAACTTACATAGTTTAAAATATTTTTAACATACTTACCTCATTATGTATTCCTTGGGTCGTGCAATTAAGCGTCTGGGTGTCTTCATCATCTGAATCAATGGTAACAAGAGGGTCAGCTGAAGGGAAAAGCTGAGCAGGAGGCACAAAGCGAGCAATTGGAACATTCTCTGCAATTTGGAACATGAATGTAAATGCTTCATTAGATGGGGATTGCATACAGAGATTTAACCTGCAAGGAGACGATGGAGGGGTTTCGGCTACCCAATTTGGGATCCGGAGCTTCTCTTTTTGGATCTGATGTGTGCGTTATGGCGAAGGACGTCGCTCTCGAGGCGTAAGGGATGATGCGAAGGGAAAGTTGGTTCGGAGTATCAGTTGGGGACAATATCCTCAGGTGGTTTGTGAGCGTGCAGGGTGGTGGTGGTGAGCCCACCGCCATATCAATATACCTAGGTAACCTAGCCGACCTGGCGGAAGACTCCTCGCAACCCTAGCTTGTCGCAACCGCAGCTTGGCGGAAGACGCCTCAGTCCTCACAACCTGAGAGAGTCGGTACAGAGTGAAATGGGGAATGAAATGGGAAAAGCATCGTTCACTCATTTGTATAGGGAGAGCAGTAAACGACGTTAATAATCTTGGAGCTGTAGCAACGGAAAATTGCCCAACTTAACTTTCTTCCGTGCTTTATATTATAACCAGATTAAATGAGCCAAAACCAGTTTGAAACCTCATCACACATCATCCGTATTCCTCACCAAAAGTACTTTTACCGGAGCTTGCTACACCAACCCCACAGAAACGACTCATTGGATGAAAGCAAATCACTCAAAGGCATCATCATCATCATCATCAGGGAATGGCTGTGCTGCAGCATTTAGAAGTTCTTCCTCTTGCCTTTTTTGAGCCTCCATATCAATCTGGACTTCCGGTGGAGCAAGGGCAACAACTTCAACAAATTGCAGGTTTGGTTCCCCAGCAAGTTTCCTAGCAAGATAGAGGAAAGGCTTCTCAAAGTTATAATTAATCTTTGCATAGATTTCATCTATGTTGCACGGAAACGTGAAAGTCATGAGGAAACGGGAAACGGGAAACGTCAAATGTTGCCCAAAAAAGGCTTGTTTGGAGAGTTTCCAAGAGTTTCCGTAGAGTTTCCGAAACGGAAACGTACTCCTTCCTAAGAGTTTCCGTGCTACATAGGATTTCATAGTACTGCAAATTCTTCTTCCTGTGGAAAGTAACCTGCTTTGCCTTCACTTGCATGTTCTTGACATCAACCTTGTTTCCACAGAGGACAATAGGAATATTCTCACACACCCGGCATAGATCACGGTGCCATGTAGGCACATTCTTGTACGTTAATCTAGCAGTAACATCAAACATTATAATAGCACACTGTCCATGGATGTAATAACCATTCCTAAGACCTCCAAACTTTTCCTGGCCTGCAGTATCCCAGCAGTAAAACCGAATTTTCCCAAGGTTTGTGGAGAAGTCCAATGGATGAACCTCCACACCAATAGTGGGTTCATACTTCTTCTCAAATTCACCAGTAAGGTGCCTCTTGACAAAAGTTGTTTTGCCGGTACCACCATCGCCGACAATTACAAGCTTAAAGCTCGGGTAATCAACTGTCTGCTGATTTGGAAGTGCCATGGCGTCGCGGTTTAGAGAAGAGACGGTAGTGATCAGGAGGAATCAGCGAATGAGGAGTGATATGCACTCAAAATAAATACAATACAACGAATATACGTAGTATATTGAAGTAAGGTTCATATCCACGGAGAAAGGAACACTTTTCTTTTACGTAACTAGTAACAAGGTTTTTTTTATTTGATTTAATAATACTAAGATGAACAACCTATATGAGTTTAATTAATAGAGATGGGGACTTGGTTTTGCGTTTATCTACTTAATGAAATGTTCATCGATCTTGGTTATATCTATAACTATCTTCCTCTCGAATACTCAATCGAGGAGTATATCGAGTTCATCGAGGGTAGTTATTAATAACGAGACGCGTTCATTAATAAAACTTACTACTGAGTCAATATAGAACACGCGCCGTATATTAACCCGATAGTAGCAATAAACTTAAGATGAAAACAATTGAGATTGATAACCTTAACACAAGAGAGTTATTGGTTTGATCAATATAATTAATTCCCCTTAGATTATTAACCATGAGACGCATGCATTAATAATCCAAGTTTTACTACCGTTGAAAGAACCGAATTAATAACAAGCGTATTGATCGATTGATTCTAGTAATAATTAATATATGAAACGAAACCAGTTGATCCTTTAAGTAATGCTCAAAATATTAAAATGGAATATGAATAGGAAATAATTAATATTCAAGGAAGAAGATTAAAGAAAATAACTCACAACTTACAAATTCATTAAGCTTCAAAGTAGAAAAACCAAGATGGAAGAGTTTAACTCCTCATTTGGAGACTAAACATGAAGAAAATATAAAGAAAGAGCTTGTCTAAACTCAGCTAAGAAGTATATGTGAATTGGTGATTTTTGTGGGAAGGAAAGGGGGTATTTATAGGCTTTTGGAGCATGTAGGGGTGTGTACCCGATCGGGCATCAAGGGCATCCGATTGGGTACCTTCAGTGGCTTCCCGGAAGCTCGAAAAGTGGGACATACCCGATCGGGTATGTCGGTCACCCGATCGGGTATGACACGTGAACGTGGTCAAATATCTTCCTGCATGTTGCCTTGTCCCAGATCCGATTCGATTTGATATTTCAACAAGGTACCCGATCGGGTATAGGTCATACCCGACCAGGTACAGACCAAAAATCAGGATCCTCTATTTCTTTTGTGATTTTGTACCTTCCTTCCACTTTTGGGGTTTCACCAACGGTCCCTTGAGTGATCATGGACCTGTTTGAGCTCAGAATAAACCTAATCTAAACAATTTACAAGTATTTTACAAACTAAACTATTACACCAAAAGTGTGTAATTTTCAAAGTACAATCAATTAAAACTAATTAAAAACATAAACATGGAAATTACGTGAATGTCAACTCCCCCACACTTAGTTTCTTTGCTCGACCTCGAGTAAAACCAAATGTTTGTACAATGTTTAACCAAAGATCATAAGTTTCAAGAATAGTAAGAAAGAACACAAGACCACCAAGGTTGTAAATGAGTTCATAAAACAACATTCTCTTGGGTTTGTTGATCCTCTTTGCTCTTTGTTCCTTCTTCTCTTGCTTCTTCTTCTTCTCCTTTGTCTTCTTTTTCTCTTCTCCAAGAGATAATGTCCTCCAAAAAACATACATTTCTCTCATATCTCTCATTTTCCCTAGGAGCCTTTTTAGATTTTCATCCTAGCATCTCTTTTCTTTTTCTTTCCTCACCACTCACTCACCATTTTTTTTGTAAGCCCTTCTTGCTTAGATTGCCCATTTTTTGGGTTTTCAACCTAACTAGCATTTCATTTCTTTTATTTATTTTTTTTTCATTTTTTTGTGCGTGTACAACTATACGAGAAAGTAATGCTTAGTATAGGGTAAAAAACAGAGGGTGTGTAACATACCAAGAAATGAATTTTCCTCCCCCACACTTGAATCATGGCACTATCCCTAGTGCCCGCCGGGACCGTCATAAAAACCCCCTCCAAAGCCTTCATTGATGCCTCCTTCATTGCCCCCTTCACCCATGGTAGTGTCGCCTCCCATCCCGCCATCATAGCTCCCACCCCCGGAGATTGAACCACCAAAGTTACCCCATTGAGTGGGGTCATACCAAGAAGGTGGTGGGGACAGAGTGGCCATAGAAGAGAAATTCCCGTGATGGGCCATATATGAGTACATAGGACCATAAGTCCTACGATAGTCTTCTTCATAGCGGTGGAGGTCGGCTTACCGTCGCTCCTTCATTCTTTGGAACCCCGCCCGTTGCTCCGCCCGATACTCCTCTATTCTTTGATCCCTTGCTCGTTGCTCCTCCCGGTAGTTCCCAATTTCTTGTTGAAGTTGGGTGAATTGGCCTCCCATGTTTGTGTAGTTGTGGTTCATTGTGTTGAACCCGGCAAGTAGTGCTTGTTGGCCCTCCAATATTTGTTGAAAGTAGTCGGTTGTTGGAGGGTTGTGAGGAGGATTGGGAATGTAAATGGGGAGCATCTTCTTGGGCTTCTTGATGCTCGGGTTGGTCAATTTGGTCGATGGGCTTGAAGGTGTGGTGGAATGGCATTAGGAAGTAGGTAATGTGTGATTTCAAAACTTTCCATTTTATACCTAAGTTTAGGTATTTCCTTGGAGGGCATGAGGAAGTAGATGGTGGGTTTGGGTAGGATATGCCACTTGTAGTTGTTTCTCCCGTTGTGATCTTTATGGGCAAAAGAGAAGCATCCCACATTTGCAAGCCAACCTATATGCATCAAACTGTGCTCGGCTATTGGTGCGTTATCCACATAGCCGAATTTGGAGGCCAAGTGCATAATGACCCATCCGACAACAATATTTCCCGTTTTCATGCAAGCTTTGTCTAAATGGTCCCACATTAAGTTGCAGAGTTTAAATTGTACGGGTAGTTGAAAGAGGGCAAGGGTGAGGATGGACACGTCCCCCATCCGAGTGTGGTGGTTGTTGGGGCGACCGAGCAAATAATTGGCCAAAAACTTCAAGAAAATTCGGAGAATAGGATGTTGAACGTGACTATGGATAGTTTAGACGCGCTCACATTCAATTCTCCGGTCATTTTGGCCCATAAAGTATGGCCATCAATGGTGTTGTCGGATATTTGTCTCTCATGGGGGCCGGGGATGCCAAAATGTTCGGCAAACTCACTTCTCATTATAGAGTGTTCGGTGTTGAATAACCGAAACGTGAGTGTGTCGTTATTGAAGTCCTCCGCATCCTCACGTTCCTCAAACTTGGCCGAACTCAAGAATTCATATATCACTCTCTCATTACAATTATATTTCATGTCAAAGATCAACTCCATTTTCAACACATGAAACAATTTGCGCATTCTTTTCAACAAGCTTAAAGTAGTGAGAGCATCATGACATAGAAATCTAGAGGGAATGACTTGCCTTTTAATTTGAGCCAAGAAGTGTTGCCTTTGATTTCCCGGGCCAAACCGGACGTCTTCAAATCCGGGAATTGGTCCCCTTGCAGTGGAACTCTCAGCCCTATCTCTTTTGGGTGCCATGGATATGTTTTTTGAAGCTTTGAATTCGGACTTGGGGTTTGGGGTAGGGTTTTGGGCTTTTCGGGAATATGGAGAGAGGGTGGATTTTATGGGTAGTGGGTTGTAGAGGAGAGTGAGGGGAGTGTTTTGGTGGTGATTTGATGGATTTTCGTTGAGTATTGGTGGAGATATGGAAGAGAGAAGGTTCGAAAATGGTGGATTTGTGGAGAGAGGTTCGAATTCTTGGGGTTGGAGAAGATGAAGTGGCCAATTTTGGGGTCTGATTTGGGTTAAAAGGTTGAGTACATGATCGGGTGGCCCGACATACTCGATCGGCTATGGCTGTATTTGTTCAGAATCCGGTGGCCTACCCGATCGAGTTGGGGTATACTCGATCGGGCGTTTTGGTGCGAAGTTTATTCCAGAAATATTTTAATATACCCGGCCGAGTATAGGATCGCACCCGATCGGGTATTTTGCTACGAAGTAAATTGCCCCTTTTTCAAAATTCACCCAACCGGGTGTAAAGACCAGCACGATTGGGTATCAAGTTTAATTTTCAAAAACGCTCCAGGGGTCATATACTCGATGGGTTAGAGAAGGTACTCGGTCGGGCATTTTGCTTCGAAGTAAATAAAAATTTATTTTCAGAGGTACCCAACAGGGTAGACAGTAGTACCCGATCGGGTACTTCGTAATTTTCCACCCCTGAGTCGATCGAGTATTTGGTTACCCGAGCTTCACCCTTTATATTTTTGCTTATACCCGACCAGGTAGTACGTGACACCCGATCGGGTATTGTGCCCCCCCGTTTTTTTATGATCCCATGTTTTTAAAAATGAAAACAACAAGGAAAGGGAAAAAATGTGTACCTTTGCTTGGGTTGGCTCCCAAGAAGCGCCTTAGTTAACGTCGCGGCACGACGCCATGGTAGTGTTCATCCTTCATAGATTGGATCGAAGAGATCCATGCATTCAACGCTTTCTTTTTGGAAACCTTCAAGGAATGGTTTGAGTTGATGCCCATTAACCTTGAAGATTTTATCGGTGTCAAGGTTTTTGATCTCAACCGCTCCATGTGAGTAGACCTTGACCACCTCAAATGGTCCTTCCCACCCCGATCTCAACTTACCGGGGAAAAGACGAAGTCATGATCTAAAAAGAAGGACTTTGTCTCCAATTTGGAAATCCTTTCTTATTATCATTTTGTCATGCCATACCTTCGTCTTCTCTGTGTAGATGGCGACGTTCTCATAGGACTCCAGTCGAAGCTCCTCTAGCTCTTGGAGTTGTAGTTTCCTTTGTATCCCCGCTTGCTCTATGTCAAGATTGAATGTTTTTACCGCCCAATAAGACTTATGTTCGAGTTCGACTGGGAGGTGACAGACCTTCCCGAATACCAGTCTATAGGGTGACATTCCAATTGGGGTCTTGAAAGCGGTTCTATATGCCCATAAGGCATCATCCATGCGAAGACTCCAATCCTTGCGGTTGGGGTTCACCGTCTTTTGGAGTATATATTTCAACTCGCGGTTTGACACTTCGGCTTGGCCATTTGTTTGTGGATG